AAAGAAAAAAGATCATCTGAAGCGGTTTGTATATCTTTTTCGATTGGATTTCCTCTCAAAAGTTTGTTTTTTCAATCTCGATTCTCAAAAAAGAAAAAGATCACCCAAGACAGTTCGTATATCTTTTGCGATTAGATCACTTGTCAAAGGTTCGTTTTTTCGATCTTGACTTTAGAAAAAGAAAAAAAAATCATCAAAAGCGAGTTCATATATCTTTTTCAATTGAATCACCTTTCAAAGGTTTATTTCTCCGATCTTGGTTCTCAAAAACAAGAAAGATCACCCAAAGTAGTTCGTATATCTTTTTCAATTGGATCACATGTCAAAGATTTGTTTCTCTAATCTTGATTCTAAAAAAAATAATATATATATATATATCATATATCTTTTTTTATTGGATTACTTGTCAAAGATTTGTTTCTCTAATATAGGTTTTCAAAAAAAGAAAAAGATCATTCAAAGAGATTCGTATATCTTTTTTTGATTTGATTACCTATCAAAGTTTTATTTTTTCAAATTCGTTTGAATATCACATCTTACTTTTTTGAGTAAGGCCGCCTAGATAATATGGCCATCGTATTCTTACCTTTTTGGGTAGGTCGAGCAAATAACAAGGCCACCATATATATATTTTTTTAAGCGAGGTCGTCTAGATAACAAGGTCATTGCATGTTACTTTTGAAATGATCACCTATGACAATCGGATCTTTTATTTTCACCTCTTGATTTATGCTTTCTTTTCATGCTTATTATGCAAAGTTATTGAAATGCATCATTTTCATTTGACTTTGCGCCATAAGCATTATAAGAGGGGAGAACTATCATAACCAAATTTTTTTATATTTTTCCTATTTTTTTTCTTATTTTATTTGTTTTATTTATCTCTTATTTTATTTTATTTTCATTTCATTTTATTTTTCTTTACTACAAAAAAATTAGAAAAAAATAAAAAATACAAAAAAATCCAAAAAATAACATGAGATAATTAATTAGAGGCATAATTGAATAAAATCAACACTGAAGTTAGAACAATTAGGGATACGATCAGAACAATTAAAAACCTTAAGACTGAAATGAAAAGATATAGGGGCACGATTGAAGAAATTAAAAGACCAAAGAACCAAAATTGCGTGTTAGAAAGGTATAATTGGAGATAATCGAAAGGCGTGAGGATTAAATTAAAACTAGGGAGTGACCAACAAGACTAAAGTCAAACGAATAACCTGTCGTTCACCTCAACCCATAATCAATTCCAAGGCTTGTTCATTGTCTTTTTTGGAGACAAATTTCTTTAATTTTGTCTCATTTCGTGATTCTTGGCTGGCAATTGTACCAGTCAAGAATCACGCTGTGTTCTCCACGTTCACCTGCACCATTATAACACAATTGTACCACCAATACACCCACACACTGCATCTTCGTCCTTCATTCATAGTCTACACACACAGCCAAGAACGCTAAAAGCATGTTCTTTAGCTCTATGATCAATGGTTTTGATTGATTGAAGATCGATCATGAGGTGGGAATTGGCGAAGAATAATTTTGAATCCCAGAAGGGGACTCTAGGTCTAACAGAAACAATCTCTGCTCTAGAATAGGATTTTAGGTAGATTGTTCAAGAGAAACGCAGGAAGAAAAACAAGAAAAAAGAGAGAGGATTTTGGAGGATTGGGAGGAAAGGGGGTGTCTAGGTTTTTTTGAAGGATTTGTCTAGGTTGATAAAGGAAAATCTGGGTTTTGTAGGAGGGGAATTTTTTGGTTTTGAAGATTATAGCTCCAAATAATCAATCTTGTAGTATAAATCAGTCCAGAGAAAAAAGAAGAAGAAGAAGGGGAATTCAGAGGGAGACAAAGTGCAAAGGAATTGTTGGGTTTCTAGTTTTCTGGTTCTGAGAAGAACAATCTAGGTTATTATCCTTTTGGGTTTTAAAAGCTTGAACCCACTAGTTCATTCCACTCTAGTTCTAGGAAGACAATCCATTGGTATCTTAGGCCACGAAACCATCAATAGTTTTAGTCTCTCAATCTTCAATTACCTGCAAAAAGCACAATAACCATAACATAACCAAGTTACGATTCTCTCAATTATGTTTAGTTCTTTAATCTCAATCAGGTAATTTGAGTTCATTTGTCTATTTATTTATTTTTATTCTGAGTTTTAGCTTGTCCATTTTCAAAGGATTTCGAAGGAGAAAGTGGCAATGATACTATCATAGTTTGGTTGTAGTTTTGGCTAATGTTGCTTTCTGTCATTGAAGTTTTTGGTAAAAGAAGAATAAGAGGAAATTCAGAGAAACTTGGATATTTGGACATTTTGTCCAGGAAGAACAAGAAGAATAGGCTTGGTTTCGGTTGAAAGGTTTAGGCTTTTTATATTTGGGTTTTGTTTCGGCTTAGTGAACGAAAGAAAAAAGGGGGTTGATGAGGAAGAGAGGACTAGGTTTTGTCCAGCCTATGTAGAAGCCCAACCCATGCATCCAAAAGGGTGGGCTGGGTTTAGCCCAGCCTAAATCTGAAGGAAGAAGAGAAAGATAGGCCAGCCCAATGGATCGAAGGCCCATTAGGCACAAAGGGTCCAATAATCCTATTTTTAGCCTTTTTCTAGATAAATCAGTCATGAGTTTTTCTTAAATACATGCCTTTTATTTTATGCCCAGTTTAGATTTAATATTTTAAATTTCAGAGTTCTTATACTTATTTTTTAGTCTATGTTTAATTTTAGGTTTTATTTTGATAATTAGATTAGATAATTAATAGGTGGATGAATCTTTAAGTCTCTTAATTTTTAGAGACTAATGACGATTCTCCACCAATAATATATATATATACACACACACACACACACGAAGAAAAAAGAGAGAGAAAATAGGTAAACAATAAAAAATATAGAAAATAGTAAGAGAAAAATTAACAAAGTCTTTTATTAAAGAGAGATTGATATTAGCTAAAATCAATCACATCTTAGTAAGTAAGTCATCCTTTGACATACCGGTTACGTCGAGGCTTAAACCGAATCCAATGTTGAATTGACGAGATACTCGACGAAGGGGTCTAACAATCGGCTCAATATGATGCCACAAACAAAAATAAAAAAATTATTTTGAGCTAAGAAATAAAATTTAAAGTTTTGACTTAGGATTAATTTTGGCAAAAATATAAATTTTTAGGTGATAAATTTTAGAACTAAACTAAACATGATACTTTTCTTAGGAAATAATGCTTAGGAGTAATTTATATTTTTTTACATGTATAATCAACTTCTTACCTTAGAATCTCTAAATCAGTGTCCACTTTATGTTTTTAATTACTTTTAATACTAAGTGACGACTTCAAAATTAATAAATAACTCTTATTTCTAAACAAATAAAATTTTTAAATAAATATACAATAATATTTTTAGGAGTCCCGCAGACGTGGATAGTGACAAACTCTTGGACAAGTTGCTTTGTACGATAGTAGAAAGAGATAAAAAAAGAAATGTAGTACTGGGGGTAATATTTAAATAAGAAGTTGCCAAATTAACCTCAATTTCATTCGACCACGGCAATTGTGAAGCCACCATGGGCGCATGCAGGGAGAGAGAGACATAAACCACAGTTTTCAAATCAATAAACATATATACGTTTTCCCATTATTTAATTAAGCCAGTTTTTAAATCATATTGTGTCGCCATTGTTCCTATTTTTAACCATTCATGCCTTTTTCTTCACTCCTTGCGCCGGTTAGTCTCTAGCTATGAGTACCTTCATAAATCTATTTGTTTCTTCTAGTACCAAAAAAATTGTCTACTCAACTATCCTTCAGGCTACCAACTTAGGAGCATTAATTTTATATCAAAAACATTTGGCTGAGCAAATTGTGTGTGTGTCTATATATATATTGGGAGATTTAAAGGTGTTTGTAGTGATATTGCCATAAATAGCGATACCTTGCTATAAAGTATAATCTTGTGAACTATTTGCAGCTTCTCTATATTAATCAATAACTTTCCATGCTAATAAGGTTTTTTGCGTATTTCATAAACTTAATCATGATGCCGAGGTATTTTTGTATACAGTTGATGGATATTTTAGTTTTGTAGCCGGCGATTCTGATTCACATGGAGTCAGGATATCTGATAATAACAAGAATTAATAACACATCAGAATGCACTGCATGCTTGCTGGAGTGGATTTATCCACTATACATGCATTGCGATTTGCAAAGAAAATAAATGAGTACTGTTTAAGTAAAATGAGGTATGAGGACTCCTCTGCCCGTGTGCATAAGCTGAACTGCATTGGTTAGATGGCCCTGACGAAAACTCCACTTTGGAACAGTAAAAGCCCCATATGACATAGGGCATTGACTCACTTTAAAGCGATAAGATTCCATTTTGAGCATATAATAACAAAAAAAGCAAGCAAATGTGTGGTATAAAATTTGTTGTTGATTGCTCTTTACGATATCTTTGTTTAATGCCAACTAAGACCAGATCAAGAAGTATTAGAAACAAAACAAATGGCCAAGTTTTGTCCAGAACAAGTTTTGATTATAGCAAGTGGTTGATATTTAATCAGAAGTGTTTTAGGCATATCTTATGATATCAAAATTAAAGACATATAATATCACCGTCTACCTTTCAGTTTGGTTATTTATTTTTGTTTCTTTTCCAATAAACATTTGTTGGATATGATCAAACCAACAATTTTGCTGATAAAGCCACTTAATTTTATCTTGGCCATCAAATCTTGTCTACATTTAGAACAGGTGGAATTAAAGTGGAACAAAGAAGAAGGAATTACTTCTAATTTTATGCAATAAAGGTACAACGAGCCTTCTAGTTAATCAACTAAACACACACATGAAACTATAAATTAAGATGTGTTAGTGGCAAGAAAAAAAAATTACCGAAGCAATCCCTGCCTAATTCCAAGTTGTGATATAATATTACAAATTCTTATATTTAAAGGGCTGTAGAGCTGTTGAAGTGACAAAATTAAAAAAAGTTGTGAGGTAAGATGGGAAAGGTTCATCCCCAAGCACTTGTATCTTCAACGCCTTGCTACCTCACATCCAAACAAGAATCATTCACAGTATGGATGAAGTCTCTAGTCCTGAGTGGCAAAGGCTGCACTGTATTTGATTCAGACGGTCATGTTGTGTACCGGGTTGATAACTATGACTGCAAGAGTAGAAAGCAAGTTCATCTCATGGATTTCAAAGGCGAGGTCCTGTTCACCATACTGAGGAAGGTAATATATGCAGCAGCGCAACATCTTAATTTTTAAGAAGTTGGGCTAAATTTGCTTTTAACAAGCCGTGCTTTGATTTTCTCTATCTAGAAATTCAAGTTGTTCGGGTTCTGGGAGGGTTACAGATCCAGTGGTTCGGAAATTGACAAGACAAAGCCAGGTTTTCAAGTAAGAAAAACCTTGAGGTTGATAAGGGGAGATTCACCGTGCAAGGTTACTGTCGGATTGGATAAGAATCAAGCGTCCCAATACAAGATAGGAAGCTGGTCCAGCAAGTCAGCATACAAGATAGTAGACAAGTTTGGAGTGGCCATAGCAGAGGTGAACCACTCAATTTTCTATAAGGCCTCATCCTAGCTAATTTCCTTGTTTTTATTTTAAGGTTGATGTGAAAGGTAACTGATATTACTATATATATACTATTTATGGTACTTGTGTGTGCATATTAAAACAGGTAAAGAGAAAGCAATCAGCATGTGGAGTTGTGCTTGGAGAAGATGTTTTGTCAATGGTGGTGGAGCCCTGTATTGATCATTCTCTTATCATGGGGCTTGTTCTTGTGTATAGCCTCATCAACTCCAAAATGTAGAAAGTTCTACACGTACAAGGCAATAGGTGTTCTTTCTTTACCTGTATAAGTACTGGTTTCTTGCAGTTGTCTTTCTCATGCTTTTTCAGTGTACAAATTTTGAGAGCGTTGTACTGTGCAGCCGCTTTTTGTCACTCCATCCATTTTGTTTCATACAATCATTATCATATTATAATTAATTCTGAATATGAAGAAAATTAATTAAAAGAATTTTTAAGAGTAATCGACTCAACCGTGAAAGGACACTCAAATCACTATATAGAAAAATTTCACTCAAGTCACTTCGCTTAAAGAAAATGAAGTTTTCTCTCCGATCTGGACATAACCTCTGTGTAATCTTTTCCTTCCACTCTTTTTTGTACTGCCTCTATTCGCATCACCGCTACCAGTCTTTCAGAAGTAAGCCTTCATTCACTAGCTGAGTTTGAGAAACAAAACGAGCTATAATATTATGGACTAATTCCTTTTAATTATTTTTTTAAAGGATAAGACTATATATATTTCCAAGTGCCCACTAGCATTGAAATTATTAAAAAGTACGCATATTTTAAATGATAAAAAGTTATTTTATATTTTATATACTAATATACAAAAAATTACTCCATGGTATAAAAGTCAAATTGAGCTGATTATCAGCTTTTGTATTTTTAAACGGGAGGGTCACGTGAGTCTCATGCTAAAATTTTTCTTTACCAAACATAAAAGCCCCAAACACAACACAAACTCTGGCTCCAAAAAAATCTAGTTTTTGGAACATCAATCTGAATTAATTGTAATTTTTTTTGACATATAAGACTAAAATGTATTCATAAAAAGGAAAAAAGAGAGGATTGAAAGAACTTCCAAGTGAGGGCCTACATGTAAACAATAAGTAGACGGACTAAAGTGAAGCTTTTGAAAATTATAGACACTAAAACAAAATTTAACAAAGCTCTATTTTGTGAAATTTTGCTACCAAACGAAAACAATATTACATTACATTTGTCGACACCCAATTTCTTCCCCACTACTCTCTCTTTTTTTTATTCTTATTTTTATCGCAATAATAATAATAACAATAATATGAAAAATAAAAAAAATAATACAAAAACAAAATTAAAAAAGAAGAAGAAGGAAGAAGTGTGCCATTAAAAATATATGGTTAAAATTAATTCTAGAGGATCCAATTAAAAAAAATACAAAATTTAGAAACCAAAAGAGAACCAATCAAGGATACAATTAAAAGACCTAAAACCTTAGATCCTTAATTAAAATAAAATTAGGCTACAATTGATTTTTTTTTTAAAAAAAAACTTCTTAATTGCAATTTGAAGGTGCCATTGAAATTCAAACAATTAGAAAATCACACTTAAAATGATGAATTATGAGGAATAAGGGATCAAAATTGATTTTTATCCTTAAGGCCCTAAAATCCACTTATAAATACCCCATTTTATAGATTGAACATTGTGCATCATCTTAAAAAACTTTCAGCCAGTAGACTCTCTCTACTACAATCTCCTTCACCAACCCGAATAGCCCCACACCATCCTCTCATTCACTAGCCCGAACAACCCTAAGCTATCCTCTCCTCTGCTTGTTCCTCACATTATCCTCTCCTCCCTTGTTCGAATAGCCCCTTTCAAAACCCTTGACAACCCATCCTTATTCTCCTCTCCACACCGATAACTGTCACCTGCATAAACTCCTCCCATTGCAACCCTACACCTCTATTGTTCAAAACCAGCAGCCTTCATCCACATAAACTCCTCACCCAATCGAACCCATCAGCAACAACCATATTCCTTCCCTTTTCATCATCCAACCAAAACCATTATTAGTTGTAACCTCCACCTAAAAATCTCATGGCCAGACTCTTCTATTCCACCTTCTGGCCAAGAAACATTTAGCATTATAGTTTCAATCTCAGGTAGAATAGAAGTAAAAAATTCAAATTGAGTGTTTTTATTGGTTGTGAATAGTAGCTGTAACTAGTTTAGGACATAACTAAACTTAAAAAAAATATATTATTTTGATTGTTTAAGTTTCGCAGGAACAACATGATGTTATAGACTGTATTTATGTTTTGTTTTTGGCAGGAATAACATAACAACTTCATTGTTGCCAAGTCCTATTAAGTTGTAGTAACTTTGGCCAATTACGGTAACTTTAGCAAATTGCAGTAACTTCGACAAATTGCAGCAACTTTGACAAGTTATAATAACTTTGACAACGGACGATTGCTCTTGTTCCTCGGCTACTCGAACAATCGGCTATCATTAGGGGTGATCATTTGGTTTTTTGATTTTTGTTGGTTTTCGATTAACCAAATCTATTAAAAAAGAAACCAAAACCAAACCAAATTGAGGTTCGGTTATTCGCTTAAAAAAAAAATCGATTTAGTTTTTTGGTTAAAACCGTTTTGTTGCTTCTTTTTTTTTTTTTCAAAAATTGTATGGCACCCTTTAAATCTCTCTACCTAAATTGGTACTACAAAATAGATTAAAATTTTGAAAGTAATAAAATTTTTCTCTCTTCTAGCACCATTAAATCTCCCACCAAACTTCAATTCCCATGTCAAATCTTCCACTCTTCTAGCACCATTATATTAATTTGCAAGCCCATTTCCATATGTTGTATGTTTGGTTAGTTTCAAGCTACTAACACATTCAAACTGTCATGGCATACATTGTATCATAAGGCTTTTATTCTTATTACAAATCCTAATACTACCGAGTTCATTCTAAGCAAAAGTTTGGAACAACAATTTAGATCCAATGTATAACATATCAGATTTTGAATGTAGAGCAAAAGTTCTAGCCATTATAGTGTTCGAGAACTCATCTATGGATTCTAAGCAAAAGTTTGCTTTGCTTCGCTAGAAGTGGCTATGATAATGCCACTGCTGATGTGCTAATAAGCATTCCATCCAAAAAATATTTCATTTTGATTATAAGACATGCTAGATTCTATGAACTCATATACCTTATTCCTGTCATTTCAAACTTTCAATTCTATTCTAAATTTCATTCTAAGAAAAAATGTAAATAAAAAGCATCATATAATATGTACAAGTAATTGATTGATTGATGACCTATTAATCGATTAGCCGTGACCACTTGGGATAGGCAAGAAGAAAATTAAGAAGAGAGGATCAAGGAGGGACATTGAACGCAAAGCGAGATCTCATGTTTTTACATTCCCAAGTTGACTAAACAAATAAAAGCCGATAATTCCACACTCGAAACCTAATTCAAGTCATTATATTGCATTCTTCAAACTCCAAAAGTAAGCAATACACCTAAAAAAGATAAAAATTGTCTCTTAAATAATCAAAATTCTCACCTTGAATAAGAAAAGAAGATGCAAGATGACCGAAGAATAGAGATGAAAGAAGTGGCTAGTGGCTAACTCGCTGGTGGGTGGTGGCTTGTCCGTGGTCATTTTCAATTTTGACAAAATGGGAGATTGTGAGAGAAAGTGAGGAAATGGTTTAATGGCGAATGGAGCTTGGAGGGTGGCCTCGAGGACTAGTGGTGGAGTGGATTGAGTGAGGCCGATCGGTTGTTAACTCGTGTGGGATCCGTGATGATTGATGAATGAGAGTTACGAGACTCGTGATTCTTTGAGAGAAGAAGTGGAGAACAAGGGTTTTTAGCAATTTGGCTAGTGAAGAGAATTGAAGTAGATAGATAATTAGATATTAATAGTGTTTGATAGCTTCAAAATTCAATTTTCAATGGAAATCAATTTTTTTAAAAAAAATCGAATCGAACTAAAATAATTTTGATTTTTCAATTTCATTTAATTTTTTTTTTAAATAAAATTGAATCAAAATTGTTAATTCGATTCGATTTGGTTTGATTTTTTTATTTTAATCGAATAGTGCTCACCCCTAGCTATCATCAAGGACAAAAATAATGAAACCGACCCCAAATCGGACTCCCGGATAAATTCGGAACCTTTCAAAATATCTTAGGTAATTTTTTGAATTTATAAAAATTTGTTTTAACTAATAAATAAAAATGATGAAAATGTCATGTTATTGGTGATTGAACTATCAAATATTTTGCTTGATTATAAATGAGATAATTACCATGTTTATCGCTATGTGAAATCATTTTGCTTAGTTTCGTTCGTCGGAAAAGTGGCCATTAGTGACTTCTCACCTATATAGACGAAGCCGCCAACGACGCCGAAACCATTTTTCTTTGTCGCTACCCGACTTCGGATGGGACTCCCAAAAAATTAAGGATTAGAGTATTTACGGAGTTATTTACGAATTTGGAGTCGCCACCTAGTATTGAAGGAACTAGGAACCTAAAATGGGCACTCGGTTAAAAGATTCTAAGGTAAGGAGTTGATTATGCCTTGGGAAGATATAAATCACCCAAAAACGCCCTTTCTTAAGAAAGGTATCATGTTTGGTTTAGTCCTAAATTCATCTCCTAAAGTGTTTTATTTATGTTAAATTATTTTTTTTGTTTTAAAGCTTTAATTTTCCAAGTAAAAAAAAATATATATATTTTTATTTTTTTAGCGTGGCATCGTATTGAAACGATCGTCGGACCCCTTTGTCGGGAGACACGTCGGTTCAAACATCGAATCCACTTTTTGAGTCTTGACATAACCGGTGTGTCGAAGAACATCTTAGTTATCGAGAAAAAATAAAAAAAAAATCGTCGGCGAGTCTCTAAAAAATAATAGGAGACTCGACAATTATCGACCTATTGACTACTTAATCAAATTTTGGGCACTTCAAGGAAAACCGTCATCGGTCCCTAAGAATTTAGGAGACTTGACAATTTCCTCACCTATTAACTATTGATCAAATTTTTAAATAAAATCTAAAAAAAAAACTATATATATATATATATATATATATATTTTTTTAAAAAAATTATCATCGATCCCTAAAAATTAGGAGACTCGATAATTCAGCTATCATTTTATTATCAAAATTAGTTATGAAAATTAAAATTCTAAAATTTAAATTAACTAAAAAAACAAACGAGAATATTAAAAAAAAAATTAAATAAGACATAAACATATATAAATAAAATTCAATATAAATCCTCTAAAGTAAAATAAAAACATGAATAACTAAAATAAAACAAACTGCATAATTTTTTTTATTTTTTTTATTTTTTACAGTGGGCCTGCTGGAGGTTTGATAAGAAATGTTTGCTGCTCTTATCATTTTTTTTATCCTGACCAACTAAACTTCATCCATACAGCAAACAACTAAGTATCACTCTGCTCCCCTTGGTTACTACATTAATTTTCATGCCTTACTAACCAAAACCAAAAGCAGCTTCTTATAATTTTTACATATCATACACTGACAATAACTTTCAACAAATTTAGAACATATTGATATGTCAAAGTAGAGGAAAAGGTTATAGAGTTACCTGTTAAGTCTGCAAGAGAATGAGACGTTGAAAATGAAATAGGACAGATAGCTAGTTACAGAACCCCAAAATAATGCCTTCCTTTTTTTCTAAAACCTGATTTCTTTTCTTTTCTCTGTTTCTTGCTCTTCCTTTCCCTGTCGTTTCTTACTGCCTCTCTCCTTTTCTTTCCTTTCGTGCTCTCCCTTTTTCGTTCTCTCTCTCTGTCTTTTCTCTCTCTCTTTTTTTTTTCGTCTCTCCCTCCTTTTCCTTTTTTTTTTTGTTCTTTCCTGCCTGCTCTATTTATAGGCTTAGAATGGTTATGAAGAGTGGCTCGGCAGTTTGTAAGGGGAAGGATGGCTGATCGTGGGGAGTGAAATGTGAAGGTTGTGGGGAGTAGAGAGTGAAGGTTATATTTTGTGAAGAGTGAAATAGTGAAAAAAAAAATGGAGCAGGAGCTATGGCAGTTTGAGTACGTGGGGAAAGTGATGAAGAATGAAAGTGGACTAGAGACGTGTGAGGGTGGAGTGGAAAGAAAAAGAAAAAGAAAGAAAAAGAAAAAATAAAAGGAAAAGACGTGTGAGGAGTGGTGAATGGCAGTTTGTTACAGTTTGTAACAAACTGCTAAGGGCTCGTGTTTATCTCCTTCTTTAAAGAAGGAGATGAATAGTAAAATGTATCAAATAATTCAAGGGTGAATGACAGGTCGTCCATGGCCAAAGTGTCAAGTTCGTCCTGTCGTTCGCCCCCTCATTTCAATTAGGTCCTCCTTCATTTTGATTTCTCTGCAATTAAGTCCTTTTTGATAATTATTTTAGTCCCTTAAGTTTCAATTGTTTTTTAATTCTCCCTTAATTTCCTTTCATATTTTCCCTACTTTTCTAGTATTTATAAATTGACTCGTAATACTTTTAAATAAAATCACAATTAAATCCTTAAAAGTAAAATTGAACAATTTCTCTCTCTTTGTTTTTTTCTTTTTTATCATTTATCATTTTTTTGAATTTTTTTAATCAATAAAATAAATAAAAATAATGAAATAAAATAAAAATTTAACCCAAAATTTTGGGTTATAACATTCTTCAAAAATGATTTTCGAAATGTAGTCATTGGTAACCTTTTACTTATGTGACAAAGTCGTTAGTGATTTTGAAATCATTTTACTTAGTATCTCGTTCGTTAAAAAAGTGACTATCGATGACTTCCTACCTATGTGGATGAAGCCTCTTGTGGATCCGAAACCATTTTTCTTTAAAAATCGATCTTTGAAATGAAGTCATTGGTAACTTTTTACTTATGTGATAAAGTCGTCGATGATTTTGAAATCATTTTATTTGGTTCCTGTTCATCGAAAAGTGGCTACCAATAACTTCTCACCTATGTGGATAAAGCCGCCGGTGGCCTCGAAATCATTTTTCTTCAAAAACCGATCTTCAAAGTAAAGTCATTGGTAACTTTCTACTTATGTGACAAATCCATCGGTGATTTCTAAATCATTTTACTTAGTTTCGTTTGTTAGAAAAGTGAGACCGAGTGGCTTTCAACTTATATAGATGAAGCTATCGGTGGCCCAAAAACCATTTTTCTTCGGAAATCGATATTCAAAATGAAGTCATTGATAACTTTTTACTTATTTGACAAAGCCGTTAGTGAAATTGAAACCATTTTACTTAGTTTTGTTCATAAAAATGTGACCACTGGTGACTTCCCACCTATGTGGACGAAGTCACAAGTGGTCCCAAAATCATTTTTTCTTCAAAAAATGATCTTTGAAATGAATTCATTGGTAACTTTGTACTTATGTGACAAAGACATCAATGATTTTGAAATCATTTTACTTAGTTTTTGTACGTTAGAAAAGTGGCCACTTGACTTCTTACCTATGTGTATGAAACTGCCAGTGGCCTCGAAATCATTTTTCTTCAAAAATTGATTTTTGAAATAAAGTCATTGGTAACTTTTCATTTATGTGATAAAGCTATTAATGATTTTGAAATCATTTTACTTAGTTTTTGTTTGTTAGAAAAGTAGTCACCGATAACTTTTCACTTATGCGAATAAAGCCGCCAATGGCCTCGCAACCATTTTCCTTTAAAAGCTCGATATTTGAAATAAAATTACTAATAACTTTCTACTCATGTGACAAAGTCTCTAGTGATTTCAAATTTGTTTTACTTGATTCTTGCTCATTTAAAATGGAGTTGCCGGTAGTTTTTGAACCAATTTTATTTAATTTTTTATTATTGAATTGAAGCCATCAATGGCTTCCTATTTATGTGACGAAGTCGATGATGGTTTCAAAATTATTTTGTTTGCTTTCTGTTCATTCAAAATGAAGTCAGTCGGTGACTTTCCACTTATATGACGAAGCCATAAGTGGCTTCCAAGTCAATGTGCTTTCTTTCTGTTCATTCGAAATGAAGTCATTAGTGGCTTTCCACTTTTATGACGGAGTCGCCATAAGTTGTTCATATAGGTCCTGTTCGTTAAAAAATAGCCAAAATTCCAATTTCCCTCACCTTGTCTCTCCGAGTAGAGGTATCGACCTTGGACCGACCTAAATCTTGAATTACTCTATTATTCTATCCCAATAAAATAAATTTACTCGGATAGATATAAAAACATAACATAATAAAATCAAACTTTTATTTTCACATGCAAACAATGTAGCCTCGCCTCAAGTAGAATGGGATGACGATAATATTATATCTTCTTCATAAGTAATCGACCCCTTATCCAAATATCTATATAGACCAATATGTTTAGGGTTTCTAGCTCTATCCGATTGTGTAGGTGACGGCTTTCATTTTTGTGTGTCCCCCCCCCCCCCCCCCCCACAACATGCATTTTCTAATAGAATCAATAAATGACATTGTCAATTGCATTACATCCTTCATGATACATAAAAATTAAATCTTTATTTAAGGAAATCACGGAGGGTTGAATAGGTCATGGGTGGGTGAATTTAGAAGAAAGTGTTTTTCTCGATCCCAGCCTTTCTCTAACATTTGATGGAATAACATGCAAGTTTGGCCGTGAAAGATGAAAGAATCCAAATTGATGTTTTCCTTGTAAAGCATAGAAAGAAAAAGGATGTCAAAAGAGCAAAACGTCACCTTTCCCCCTTATATTTATTTATTTAAACAGGATTATGAATGGAAGTAAATGAGTATTGTAAATCTAATCTCGTAATTTGCAAAAAATAAAAGCCTCCATTACCGAAAACATCTCACCGGAATCCCGACGCACACACACGCACACCATTAAAACACTTATTTTTGACGCACGAAAAACACATAAATGTGGTGGAGATCGCCCTCTTTCATTCTCGACAAACAACTAAACGACACCGTTCCCCAACCACGCAAGCCCCCCGACACTCTCACTCTCCCATCTCCACCACCTATCTCCATGGCCGACACGGTCCAAAACTCTAACCCCGAAAACAACAACAATAATAACAACAACATCTCAGCTTATTACCAGACACGCGCCGCCCACCACGCCGTCGTCACCAGCGACTGGCTCGCCCAGGCCCAGGCAGCCGTCGGCCGTGACCCAGACGACTCGCCGGAGACTGCTGTCCCCACAGTCGCTGGAAAGCCGTTTAGTGTGATTGATGAGTTTAATAGCTGGAGGAAGCAGCCTGACTTGGCGGAGGCTGTGGCGGCGATTAGGGCGCTTGCTGCCGTTATTAGGAATTGTCAGGCTACTACCATGATGGAGCTTGAAATTGAGCTTAAAAAGGCCTCTGATTCGCTTAAAGTGAGTGTAATTTTGTTGCTTCTTAAGAGTTTTGTTTCATTTCATTTGGTGCTAATTGTGATATTGTGATAAAGTTTTGATTCCGAAGAACAATTATATGCTTAGAATTGAAATTAGGGTTTTTTTGTGTGTAATTAACAATGATTTTTAATTAATAAAGAGTAATTTTATATCAGGGATTTGTTTTTATTGTTTGGTTGTGATGATTTATCCTATATGTTGTGCCAGTCGTGGGACACAACCTCGATATCTTTGACAGCAGGTTGTGATCTGTTCATGCGGTATGTGAGCAGAACTTCTGCTTTAGAATATGAGGACTTTAATTCAGCTAAATCTCGGTTGATTGAACGTGCGGAGAAGTTTGGAGAGATATCTTGCAAGGTATTTTATCTAATTACATCTCTATGTAGCAATTGCTTAGCTATTACGTTGTTTCTAAATGCCATTCGTTTGAATATTGACAGTAGAAGAAATTGTTTGTTTGATATTGCAGGCACGCAGGATCATTGGCATGCTTAGTCAAGATTTTATCTTTGATGGTTGCACTATTTTGGTGCATGGTTTCTCCAGAGTTGTGTTTGAAGTTCTGAAAACGGCGGCCCACAGTAAAAAACTGTTTAGAGTTTTCTGCACAGGTATTGTTTCACAACACTCTTGCACCTGCTTAGAGTCCCTATCTTACTTAACATCACCTTGAACATTTACTCTAACTTGCATGTTGCATATTTTCTTATTACTATTTGCTTTGTCAAAAGCATGAGTAGATTAGAGAAACAAAAATTCTTATTTGTAATGCGTTTTGCCAATCAGTTAAGCATGGTGTTGGGCTCAAGAAAGGAAAATGGCACTGCTCATTTTTCAGCATAATTACGTACTTATTTTGTTTCTAATGTATAGCTTCTCTGGCTTTGGCCTTTGAATTTGAGACCGACCTTTACTTTTATGTACATCAATACTGGGCTACCAATTTACTAACTTTTCATACTTGTAAATTGCAGAGGGAAGGCCTGACAGGACAGGCTTACGGTTGTCACATGAGCTGGCCAAGCTTGATGTTCCTGTGAAACTCCTTATAGACTCTGCTGTGGCATATACTATGGATGAGGTAGACATGGTATTCGTTGGAGCAGATGGAGTGGTCGAAAGTGGAGGTATAATTAACATGATGGGAACATACCAGATTGCATTGGTTGCACACAGCATGAATAAGCCTGTTTACGTGGCTGCTGAAAGCTATAAGGTATGCCAACGTGTACCATTATGGTTAAATACATAATCACTAAGTTTAACTCTTTGGTAATCAACCAGCTGCAGCCAGTACATATTTTGAACCAGTATTTTACGATCAACAGAAATTTAACATAGGAGTTTGTCCTATGGGTTTGGTTTTCTAACTTATTATAGTTGCATATTGACACTCTATTTTACAGTTTGCTCGTCTCTATCCATTGGACCAGAAAGACATGGGTCCTGCTTTGCGCCCTATTGATTTTGGGGTGCCCATTCCATCAAAGGTCGAGGTGGAAACATCTGCCTGGGATTATACTCCTCCTCAATATCTTACATTGCTATTCACTGATCTGGGTGTGCTGACTCCATCTGTAGTCAGTGATGAGCTCATTCAGCTATACTTGTAGTCGTGTTTGAATGTAATTGTGTTTGAATATTTTTTTAACATAGCTAGGGTCACTTGACTAGCTTCGACATAGTGGATATCTTGGATGCCCTTGTGTTTTATTTTTGACAATTTTGATTTCAATGCATAAACATTCAAGTAAAATCGTAGACAGGCAAAGTTGGACCTTTGTTGAAATTTTCATGAGGAGGTGAATTTGGGGATTGAGAGCAAATGCAACAAGCCCTTCTTCAGCAAAGTCACAGCTTCAAAAATTTTCGTGAGCAGATGCAATTGGCGAATGCTAATGCAGGGTAAATGCAGCCAAGCCCTTCTATCAGTGGCAATTTTATTTGCGGGGACGCCAGTGCAGGTGCTCGTATGTGGAAACTGTTGGTTCTAGGATTTGGTGATGTTGAGTTGCTGGTGAGGTTAGAAGCTTTTTTTCCCCCCTATCCCATTTAGAGAAATTCTTCTTATAATATATCGTTGCAGGATCGAAATAAAGTTGCAAGAATAAATTCGTAGTTGAACTTTTGGTAAAAGCATCCATTTAATTACCTTTATGTTTGACGAGCATTCTCTATTATTGCTTCTATGAACATATAACGCATAGAAGTAAACAAGTAACATACGCTCTTTAACAAACAGTATTTCTATCCATTCATTTCAGTCGAAGTAAAATTACAGGCATTACCCAAAAATTTAAAGGCTTGACATTAATTCCTTTATGGTTAATAAATTAATACAAAAATAAACAAAAGGATATTTTTTAAGCATTTTTTAATGCATGGCTGGGGTCATTGCAAGAAATAATTCTTATTTTGTCTGTGTATTTAGTTGGAAGTCATTTTCCGCTCTATGTTTTTTACATAAATGAGAAGCTATGGGCAAAATCAGGCCAATTGATAAAAGGTTGATTGGTGGTTAAATGCCTCAACAGTTAAGATGAGGATATTTTACATATTTAATAGCCGTAGCTTTGATTTAGGAGATATTTTCAGTATGACAGTTAAAATTTGAGAAAAGAAAAAACTTAATGAATCTAAATTTATATTATATTTTGAACAACTTTTCATATATTAATTTTGAATAATTTTATTTGATAAATAAGATTTCGTTTTTTCATCATATATGTTGGATCAAACTTGGTTTTAACAGCCACATGCTACAGCGTAAAGAGACGAATCCAGATGTGATGTGGCATTTGGAAGGATAAAACTTTATAATTTTTAAATGAGGAGCCATTTTGTAAAACTTATTTCAAATTAGATTAGAAGGATCTAATTAAACTTATTTCAAATTAGATTAGAAGGGTCTAACCACTTTTTAACCTTAAGTTATTTAAAATTGAGTCCCTAAACTATTTTATTGGTTTTAAAGATCTCTAAACTTTTAACTTTTTTAGATTTAACATATCCTTCAATTTTCTGTCATTTATCTCAAAAAATAACAATCAAATATATAGTTTTATGATGAAAATAATTCATTAAGATTTATGTGGGGCTCCTTAAAAAATTTCAGATCATTTTGGAATTATTTTCTATTTTCTCGATTTTCTATGTTTTTAATGTTCAAAAAATAAAAATAAAAATAAAATATTTTTTTTATTTTGAAAAATTCTGGAATTTTTCTTCAAAATTTATTGAACTTTTTCCAACATGTATGTAAAATTTTAACTCAAAATACTAAGAATTGATTTTTTTAAAAAGAAAGATTATAGCTAAAAATTATTGAATAGATTAAATTTCAAAAAAAATTAAAAGTCCAGATATCTCCAAAACTAATAAAAAAAAAGTTAGAAACTCAACCTCAAATGACTTAAAATTCAGAAGTTGTTAGGTCATTTTAACCTTAAATTTATATGCAAAAATTATTGAATTTTGCATATAAACTCAACCTCAAATTATTTAAGTTTTTTGGGAAAATGTGATTGAAGAAGAGGGTCAAGGGCCTAAAGTTTGAAAATTTTCAATCACATTTTCCCAAAAAAAAATAAAAAAAATCAGCCACATGTGGGCCTCCACGTCCACTTACGAAACCTAGTTTAAATAATTTATTAACTCGAATCAAAGCTCCAATAAATTTGAATACAATTTGATAGATATTGATGTTATTGGAAAAAAAGAGTAAATGGATTAGTGATTAAACTGATAAATTATGAATCATTATGGAGCTTCAGTATCAAATTTATTGCAATGTATCATGTTTATTTGAAGAGAAACTGATAGTCCTTTAATTAACACGAATTTTGTTGGGTTAGCACAAATATTGCATTGGTGGGGTCTACATAATTTTGTTAATTTGTGCTCGCTTTGGCTCCAGTACTTACCTTTTTTTTTTTTCCATGAAGAACTCTCTTCTTTCTTCACGTGTTGTCTCTCCTATATCACATCATCTATTATTGTACAAGGATACATCTCCTTTCTATAGGTTTGTTAGCTTACATTTAGCCCTTTCTTGGGCTCAAGGTTCTCTTTACCCTTCGTGTGTTATGGTTTGATAATTCGCTTAAGCAGCAATAGTTTTTATCCTGAAATCTGTATATATATGCTAACCGTAAATAGTAACCCTTGATCATTGTTTTCTTTTTATGGGTACAAAACCGTTGGCCGATATGGTTACAAAGCTCCTTCGCATTGGAATGGTGCCTGCTATTCGTTTGTTCTCATCTACCTTTCTTTGCTACAAAATTAATGTGGAATTTCAGGTTATACATATGGTAGCAAGAATCTACTTTTTTCCTCCTTTTTTCCAAAGACCCCGAAAAGGCTTTTGTCCATCATATCACTTTCCAGAGAGAATCGCTCTTTCAAAAATTGCATTGTTTAAACTGTCCTCTTCTTTGTGCCTAAACATTTCCACACACGCCAACACCCCCTAATTGGAATTTTCTTTTTTGCTGTCCCCCATATCGAAATTTGAAAAGACATTCATTTTGACAACAGATGCATTCTCCATTTTTTTTATTTTCATGAAAAAAACGTTTGTTGCAAAATAACATTTAGTTAGAGGCTTGAAGAGAGACCATTAATAGTTGTGGTAATAAATATCATTAAGGAGCTCAGGTTGGGACACTAGCATCAAGATGCAAATATTTCAGATCATACTTGCTGCTTTGGTTTACAAGATTTCAACAACCTCTAACAAGGTATCATTATGCTACATATATTTCAGGGGTTCAGTCTATAATCTAAGCTTCAAGTCTGTACTATGAGATCAACCAAACAAGGAAAACTTCAAGTCTGTAATATGAGATCAACCAAACAAGGAAAAGAGTTAAAGTAAAGCAGGACTGGCCTCTTTCTCTTCTACCGATCCTGACATTCTCTTCCATGAAGTCCATCTCTTTTGTGCGTCCTTGCATCTCTTCTGGTGTTGGCTTTCCACTATCCAAGAAAAAGATGAAAAAGAATAGAAAGAAAGAAAGAAAGAAATGAAAAAAAGCTCATTATGTTGTAAAATGATGAATGTACATATTTGATTTATTATTTAATATGAGAAATTGAAAAGATAATGTAATTGATTCAATAATTTATGTATTTTTAATTATTTATAGTCTTTTTCAATTCTCTTCCTAATTTTGAAGCCTATAAATAAGCTTAATTGTTATTAGTTTGTGTATAAATATTTTATAAAGATTGAGAGAGATGCTTGGAGTGGTTATTTCTTGTATTCATTTTATTTTATAGTGAATTTATTTCCTTATCATTTTTTCTCCTATCAAATTATTGAGAAAAATGTTTGGAGTGGTTATCTCTTATATTATTTCAACAAGTTATTAGCACGAAATTCTAACCAATTAAGATAATAGTCCATGAGATATATATTTATCAAAAGACTCAATCATCCGTTTCAATCATTGAATTATTTCTCTATACGAATGCTTTACCAAAAAAATCTAAATTATCTAGATCACTAAGATATATATATATATAATTTATCATGTACTTTAAATCTAATGATACATAGAGTATACATTTGAAAAACTTAAATAATCTAATATATATAATCTACTTGATCTAATATATGTTGTTTGAAAAGTTTAAATTTTATTATTATGTTTATTCATATTTCTTAACATTAATTACTATATCTTGTATTATAGAATTTTGATAATTTCAAACCTCACAAATCTTGATTTTGTAGCCCTTGACATTCCAAACAAGAATTATTAATCATGGGTGCTTGATGCTTGAGAAAATATTCTCTACTTTTCTTGCTTCGAATATATACTCCTACTGCAGACAATATTAAGAGAAAGGTTTTAAGAAATATTCTAAATTAATTTCATGCTTGCTTATGGTTAAACAAAATAACGAGCTATTGATAAAAAAATCATGAATCTCACCCAACTAGGTATACTCCATTTCCTAAAGTGAATGTGACAACTTATAATAATTACGAGCATACACAAGGACGTAGTCATGATTATGGAAGTGGATATAGCTATAATTGTGATTGGAATAATTATTGTTATAATATGATAACAATAACAATACACCTCACCATCGAAGTGAATAAATTATAAAAAAAACATGAAAAGAATAAAAATAGATCAAATCGGCATTCTAAAAATGAATGTTATAGATGTGGTATGAAGCGACATTAGCCGCATACCTATCATATGCCAAACACCTCGTTGAAACTTATCAAGCCTCGATGAAAAAGAAAAAGTAAAACATAGAGGCCAATTTGATATCTCAAAATGATGATAATTGAAATAAATAACTTCTTAGCTTTTTTATTTATAAATAAGATGTTTTATATATTTTTTTATAATTTCTATTGCATAGTGATAGTTACAAAATTATTTTGCTATTTATTTATATGAAGAATATATTTATTTAATCATTTATTTTGAGTTGATATTATATCCGATAGTATCAATCTAATAAAAAGTTCTAGAAGAGCAACTATATTACTTGAAGAGATAAATTTTGAAGGCTTTAGAAGAACGAATATATTATTACTTAAAGAGATAAATTTTGAAGGGTCTATAATAACTAATATATCATTATTTGAAGGGAAAAATTTTAAAAGTGTCGAAGGGAAAATATATTATTATCTTAAATGACAATTTTATTATAAATAATGCACGATTCTCTTTAAAGTTTCATAGAGATTTATTGAGTTTTAAAAATATTTATATAAATGGATATCATATCAAGATAGTAGATGTAAAAAATATTGAATACTTATATATTATAATTATTATATCGGGTAGAAAATATGTATTGGAACAATTATTCATTTTTCTTTTGGTCTTTATTAAAAATATTTGAATGATAGAAACAACTAATATAGTAAACTAGAAGTTTACTAATTAAATATTTTTATTATGTGCATTAATCGATTAGGTTATCCTCGGTATTTCGGAATGTAAAAGATTATTAAAAATTCATATAGACACCTATTGAAGAACCGGAAGATTCTTCAATTTAATAAATTTTCATGTTCTTCGTGTTTTCAAGAAAAATTGAACATCAAGCCATCACCAAGTAAAATTGAGATTGAATCTCTAGTATTTTTTAGAATATATTCAAGGTGATATATGTGGACCAATTCATCCACTATATGAACTATTTAGATATTTTATGATTTTAATATGTATACACAATATGGTCACTTGTATGCTTATTATCTACTCAAAGCCTAGCATTTTTGAGATTGCTAGTTCAAATAATTTGATTATGAGCATAATTTCTAAATTATGCTATTAAAATAATTCACCTTGATAATGTTATTGAATTTATCTCTCAAGCATTAAATGATTATTGATTGGCTATTAGAATAAAGGTTGAACAACCTATTGCTCATATTCATACTCGAAAAATTTAGCAGAATCATTTATCAAAAAACTCAAATTGATAATTAAACCATTATTCATAAACACAAAACTTACTATTTATATTTGAGGATATGCAATTTTATATACAGCAACACTTATTCGTATTAGACCCATACGTTATCGAAATTCTCCCTCATTCACTTATTTTATGGTCATGAGCAAAATATTTTTCAACTAAGAATTTTTTATTGTATAATATATGTCATTAGTGCTCCTCCACAACGAACTAAAATTGACCCGTAAAGGAGATTGAGAATATATGTTGGATTTGAATCCTTTTCAATAATTAAATATTTGAACCATGAACAAGGAATATTTTTACAACTTGATTTTTTTATTATCATTTTGATGAAAAAGTTTTTTCAACTTTAAAGGGAGAAAATAAGCAAAATAAGCGAGTTGGAAATATTGAAAAAAGATATTACATGGAGTACTTCATCTTTATATCATCTTGATTTTTGTAAAAAATAATATGAACTAGAAGTTCAAAAAAAATTTATTTACAAAGTATTACAAACCAACCGTTGGATACATTCTCATATCCAAAAAAGAGTAACTAAAATGCATGTCTTTGCCGAGAATGCTCATATTAGAATTCATGTCCTAAAAGAACAATCTATTAATGTTATAGCAAATAAATATAAAACATGCTTAAAGTGTGGAAAACCAATCGGTTCTAAAGACAAAAAGTCTCCAATAGAAAAAGGAAAATAATCAAGATAAAAATATAAAGGATATAAATATTTATAAAATGGTTCTAGATATTTCGATAATAGGCTTATAGAAGAAATCTAAATGCTTGAGAAAAATCAAGAGATTTTGATAAATTATGTCAATACAAGGAGAAAATAGGATCGAAAAGAAGCATTTATTGATAATATTTTTGTATGTAATATTGCAATTGATATTTTAAATAAAAATAAAGATCCCGAGTCTAAATCTATTGGAGAATGTCAATATAGAGATGATTGATCTAAATGAAAAGAGCAATTCAAATGGAATTATATTCTTTTATAAAACGAGTAGTTTTTGAATTCATAGTCAAAACACCTAAAGATGTTAAGCTAGTGATATACAAATGGGCATTTGTACAAAAACAAAATAAAAAAGGTGAGATTGTGAGATACGAAGCTAGACTTATAACATAAAAGTTTTTGTAAAGATCCGACATTGAGTATGAGGAGACATATTCTCCCGTAATGGATGTAATTACATTTCATTATCTCATTAGTCCTAACAAAATATATGAAAAAATTCATATCTATGTATTTAATGAATGTGATCATAACTTATTTATTCACTTAAAATGATATTTATATGAAAGTCCTGGAAGGACTTAAGATGCTTGAAACATGTAATACACATTTTAAAAAAAATAAATTTCATTAAATTATTGAGATCTCTATCAAGATTATTTTATTATTTGTTTTATTATTTTGTTTTTAGAAATTCAATTTAAGCTATAATTTGTATATATATATATTTTTTTACTATCTCTCTTTATTACTAACCTATGTGTATGTGGTATAATCGCTTCAATGAATATTTATTGAAAAAAGTTATAAAAATAATCCTATTTGTTCATGTATTTTTATAAAAAAAAATTCACAAGGAGGTTTGTGATAATTATTGTATATGTTGATAATTTAAATATTATTAGAACTCCCGAAGAGATTTCAAGTGTCATAAGTTATCTAAAGAGAGAATTTGATGTGAATACATTAGGAAAATAAAATTTTATCTCGACTCGTGGTTTGAGTACTTAGAGAATGAGATTTTTATTCATCAGTCAATTTATATAGAAAATTTTTTATAATTATTCTATATAAAGCTCATTCATTGACTAGTCCCATGGTAATTCGTTCATTTGATATCTAAAAAAATCATTTTCGGCCTCGAGAAGATAACAAAGAACTACTTGATCTTGAAGTATCATATCTTAATGTCATTCGTATATTAATATATTTTGCTAATAATACCCGACCTAATATAGTTTCGTAAATTTATTAGCAAGATATAGTTCGCTCCAACACGAAGACTTTGGAATAGAATTAAACATATACCACGTTATCTCCGAGAAACAATTGATATAGGTTTATTTTACTTCAATAAATCAAAGACAAGATGAATTGATTATGCGGATGCATGTTATTTATCTAGTCCATACAAAGCTTGATTACAAATGAGTTATGTATTTACATATGGTGATACAATTATATCATAATGTTTTATGAAGTAAACTATAGCTACTACATATTTAAACCATGCAAAAATACCAATTCATAAGGTAAATTGAGAATGTATTTGGCTAAGATCAATGACCCATTATAACCTAGAGATATGCAGTTTATCTATCGGTAAAGATGTTCCAACAATATCATATGAAGATAATGCTACTTGTATAATTCAATTAAATGAAGAATACATCAAAGTGACAATCTAATGGACTTATTCACTAAGGCATTACTTACCACAACTTTTAAAAAAATGGTTCGCAACATTAAGATGCATTATCTTAAAAATTTTAAATAATGTTTTCAACGAGAGATAGTCTAATATGGAGATTAATGCGTACAAGGAATATTTTACTCTTTTTTCTTCATTAGACTTTTTTTTCCATTGGGCTTTTTCTTATAAGGTTTTAACGAGGCATGTTCTTTGTATAAATGACATTCAAGGAGGAAAGTTATGAAATAATGAATATTTATATGTATTTCATATCTTTACTACTTATAATTGTTAATATGATTTAATTCACTATTCAATATAAGAAATTAAAAAGGTAATGCAATTGATTCAATAATTTATGTATTTTTAATTGTTAATAGTCCTTTCTAATTCTCTTCATAATTTTAAGGTCTATAAATAGGTTTGATTGTTCTTTAATTTGTTTGTAAGTGCTTTGTAGAAATTGAAAGAAATGTTTGGAGTGATTATCTCTTTTATTCATTTTATTTCATAATGAATTCATTTTCCTATAATCTTTTTCTTCTTCAATTCTATGATGTTACCATTTCTTTCATAACACATAATCAATTTAATGAATTAACCATGTTATGAATTCTTAGCAAATATTGGAATTTTGAAGGGACATAATTGCACGGAACCCCGTCTACCACAATAAATAAATAAATATAAAAAGGGTAAACCCTTTTATCAGTTTTATTATTGTCCTCTTTCTTTTTTGACCTTCACGATCAAAAATTGTTAATTAGTAATTTCTAGTCTCTTGTCCGTAATTCTTCCATTTGTTTATCCCAGCAAATACTCAACTATTACATTTTCAAAAATTACTTTCGTTGCTATTAGAAAATAACCAAAAAAAAAAAAAAAACACTTGCAATTCCATTATTCCCATCCACCATGCAAACATTTAAAAAAAAGAAAGAAAAGAAGCTGACTAGATTATTAGTGCAACGGCAATTCCATACTGTCGAAAGGATGGCTGCTAGGCTTTGTAAGTACAAAAGAAATCAAAATGAATGACGAAAATACAATTGGATAATAACTCAACATATAAAAGAGGAAGAAATTGATATAGATAGAGTCTCCATATCAAAACTACCATGAAATTAAGGTGACAATTTAATGTGTGCAATCACTGTGGTTACTTTCATCCCTTAATTTGGCCTATATCTAACATATATCAAACCAAAATAAAGAAAAATGACAGCTATTTTTTTCCCCTTCTGCAAGAAGAAATTTATTATAGGTTGATACAGTAAAGAAAGGAAAAAAAAAAAAAAAGACATAGCAAGAACATGGAAATATCCATTTCTTGTTATTAAGATGAGACCTTTAATCATGGTAGAGTTGTCGAGTTGGTTTAAAATTTGTCTTTCTTAGAGAGGAACTTTTCTCTCAGTTCTGCAACATCAGTGTCACCAAAGTGACTCTCTGGTATCCAGTTGCCTGTCTTTGGATCTCTCATCCAAAAGTCCTTCTTGCTATCACCTGCAGTTGCTGAACCCCCTTCTGATGACTTAACATTTTTTGCTTTCCTCATCGCTGATATTCCTGCTGGTTGGTTGCTTAGATTTTCTTCAGCAATCCCATATGAACGCTTGCTGCAAAAACATTAGTATAACATTAATCATGTTGATGTCATTATATTATCGACTACAAAAATTGGAGGCTTTAGAGTGACCATTTATATGGCGACCAAATAGAAAAATAAATAACTGCATTTTTTTCTTCGATGTATGAATGAACGAGTGACAATACCTGATGAGAAGCATAACGTTTTTAATTTGAAGCTTTGCCATGTTTAGATATACAAAATGAAGGAAAGAAAGAAATTAAAATTGCTTGGGCTTAAATTACTAAGGTTTGGAATTCCGGGGTTTCTCTTATAGATTTGTTTGACATTTTGATAGAGATAAAAGAACCCTATCAAGGTCTAGAGACCTAGCTAGTAAAAGTTTTGAAGTTCGAATCACGTTGCGCATCTCGAATATTAGTTTTTTCTTCTTTAATTGTATTTCTTTTTATGAAATTAATTTTCATTATAATGCGAATCAAAAAACATATCCTAACGACAAGACGCATCAATTACAAGTTTTATGCAAAATGGAAAGTATTAAATCCCATGAAAACACGATATGAAAAAAAGGTGTTTTTCTAATTATATGTACCTAAGCCGCATGTTAATTGATAATTAGAATAATTTAATTTCCATTCTAAACATTTATATTGAATTATCGATCTATGTGAATTTTAGTCAATTATAGGAATAAATAAATTAATTTTGTACAAGTGTTACTTTCCGGTTATATCAATTAACACCGTCACATGTAAGAAAAACCTAAAAACAAATGTATTAGTGAGTTAATATATATATATTTGTGAGTTAATAAATATATATAATCCCTCTTATTTATCATGATTTAAATCTAAAAAATAAACTACTAATAGCAAAATTCTTAAGCATCTATATATGATCTTGATATGGATGAAAACTTTTAAATGGACCGACACGTGTTAAACTTAGTTTTCATAAAATATCACATTTCTTTTCTTTCTTCTTGTTTTTTTTTCTTTATTACTATTTTTATCATGTATACCACAATTCTTGCAAAAAAAAAAAGGTGCGTCTTTACTAGGATAGAATACTCCAAGTAGCTCATAATCCTCAACCATATCTACTCATAATCTAGCAGACTCATAATCCTCTACCATATCTCGCTCATAATTCTTCATCCATCATTATCATCAACAGACTCATAATTCCTTGATTATGTCAATCGATAACATAACTACAATCCCATAAGTTTAGGAGTAATGTATATAAGTATATAAGTTTAGGAACAACATATGTAATCTTTTTTATTTGATGATTTACTCTCCGTATTTAAACTCATGTACATCAATACAATAAACATAATATTTTTCATCATTTTTTATGTGCTTTTATCTGTCTTTTATGGTATCGTAGTAGTTTAGACTCTCACGAGTATCTAAATCCTAGACTTGTCGTAATTTCTTGAGTTCTTGTTTCCCCTCTATCTTTCTCATGGCCAACCCGGACTCTAAATCCTCAACCACCAATTAGATTAGCAATAACACCATCACTATTACTCCCAACCAAACAAGTCTTGTTGTTCTCTACTCAACTCAGCTCCCCGTTAAACTAGCCTTAAACAATTAGGCATCATAGAAAGCATAGTTTGATGCATTAATCTAAGGCTATGATCTATTTGGCTTCATTAACAAATCTAAGCCTTTATCCATCTAATAACGTTATTATTGAAGGAAAGGAATTTCCAAGCCTAGAGGTTGTTCACCGGTATAAACAAGAAAAACTTCTACTACACAAGCATATCCATGTCCTTCTCGGACCGAGTGAGACCCCTTATCAACTCATCCAAGATGTCAATCGAAGCCCGTAATCATGCATCTCTCTAAAACTTGTGCTAGCTCATCTTCATCTCACACTATGGGACTAACATACCAATTTTCTAATATGAGTCGTGGAACTTAATCAATCACCGATCGCCTCGGCTCCATTCATGCAATAGTAGATGAACTCTCACTCATTGGATAACTATCGCCACTTACTCATCTTGTTAACCATGCCCTTAATGGAATAGGTCTATAATTCCAAGAGATCTGTCATGGCAATAAGAGCATGAAACATAATAATTAGTTTTGAAGAACTTCATGATAAACTTAATGAACATGAAGCTCTTCTAGTCCAAGCATCAAGAAAACTCAACCAATGATGAAACAAGCATGCTTTGGTGTTAAAACTACTTTTGACCACCGGCATGACTGTCTTGGCCACCCATCATCACTAGTCATTAGTCAATTTGTCTCTACCAATAAACTTTTTATACAATCAAGTCAATCCAAGTTATCTTTCCGTAATTCCTATTTATGTAACAAAAGTCACAAATTACCTTTTGATGCCTCTAGTCTTAAAAGTCGATGTCCTTTGGATTTATTATATACTAATGTTTGGAGTCTATCTCCAATTGTTCAATGGATGGTTTTTCTTACTATATTATCTTTATCGATCATTATACCAAGTACTTTTGGTTATTTCTCCTAGCACATAAATTTGATGTTTTTAATATCTTTCTTAAGTTCAAAATAATGGTTGAAAAGTTTTTTAAATAAAAAATAAACATAATCTATTCGATGGTGGTAAAGTATATTAAGGCCTTAAAACATTATTTTCTCACCATGGTATCCAACACCTTATATCTACACCCTACACCCTTTAACATGTTACCTCTATCGAACGATGTCATAGGCACATTAATGAAACATGACTTAGTCTTTTACATTGTACCACACTACCAATCTCTTTTTGGACATATGTGTTTTGAGCTTTTGTTTATCTTATCAATTGCCTACCCATATAACTTCTCAATAATAGGTCACCCTTTAAATGTCTTTTTTAATAAATTCTAAATTATTTTAAGCTCAAAGTCCTTGGATGTTTGTGTTATCTATGGCTTCAACCATACACAAAACATAAGTTAAAACAACAATCTAAACCTTGTTTTTTTTATTGGATACTCTAATGTTGATAATTCATATATTTTCTTTAAACCAACTCACCATAAATTTTATTTCTCTAAATATGTTCAATTTGTTGAAGATGTGTTTCCATCTTTAACAACAGTTCATGACATAAACATTATCAATGACCATACACTTTCCCAATGGTCGGAGATATCTTCGAATCTTACTCACCCGGATTCCTTTACTAATCATGATCATAATAACTTATTATCTTAGTCGTCACCAAATCCTCTAAGTAGTTATGCCCACCTTGGGTAATATCACATTCTCATCACCCACGTACATATCATCAAATTTACCCTCTAATTTCAGCTCATCCATACTATCTTATCATGTAGACATGCCATCATATTCACTTTCCTTTGATTTTGAAACCAATACATTGTAAGAATCTCCATTAATTGCGGAACATTTTGAATCAAGATCTTCGGGTGACATTACTATTGCTCTTTCTATGGACTAAAGTGCATCCAAGTATGGTTTTAATTCACATACTTCTTCTCCATTACTCAATCCTTCTAAAAACACACCCTATAGTCACACGAGCTAAAAAATAATATCTTCAAACCACTAACCAAACTTTCCCTCACTCGCCACCAAACATCCCCTCTCGCTTTCCCTTGAACCAAAAAATGCCACTAAAGCCTTGCAGGACCCCAAATGGCGTGATGCTATGAATGATGAGCTTAATGTCATAATTTGTAATGAAACATTAGAATTAGTTCTAAGACATTCCTTTCAAAACATTATTGGTCGTATGGGGATTTTTTGAGTTAAGAGGCACTCGATGGATCTATTTATCACTATAGAGCTTGTCTAGTCCCCAAAGGTTTTCACCAATGCCCTAGCCATTAGAATTTTTAAGTCCGATTATTAAACCCATGATAATACAAGTTGTACTTATAATTGTCCTATCTCATGGTTGGCCTATTCATCAACTTGATGTTAATAATGCCTTTCTCCATGGCTCACTCTTTGAGGAAGTGTTTATGTCTCAACCACTTGACTTTGTTGACCAAACTAGAACTAATCATGTGAACTCGCCTTTGTTGCCCACTCTATGGTCTTAAATAAGCATCGTACACTTGGTTTTAAGAACTTAAGGGATTTTTTCTTTTTGGATTTATAAACTCTAAATCTGATTCTTCTCTTTTTATTTATAGTATTGCATCTCTCTTAATTTGCTTCTTGGTTTATGTCGATGAGTTGCCAATTACGAGGAGCTTTCAATCCTTTGTTCACCATGTCATTACTACTTTTACTAGTAGATTCTCTATAAAGGACGTCGGTCACCTTCATTATTTTCTTAGAGTTGAGGTTATTTTCAATACTTAAGGTTTATTCCTTTCTTAATAGTAATACATTTAGGATTTACTTGATTGATTCAAAATGGAAGGCATGAAAGAAGCCACCACCTCAATGAGCTCTTCCATGAAGCTTGCTCTCAATGATGGCACTACTACAATCGATGCCACCCAATTTAGGAGCTTAATAGGAGGCATGCAATACTTAGCCTTAACTAATCTAGACATTGCCTACGTAGTTAATAAGCTTGCTCGGTTCATACATGCCCCTACCGAAACTCATTGGATAGTTGTAAAAACATTGCTTCATTACTTCAAACACATCATTTTTTTTGGCTTGCCTTTCTATTATGCATAACCTATGCATTTTACTACTTATCTTGATGTTGATTGGACTAACAATAAAGATGATTGCACTTTCATATCTGCTCATATTATCTTTCTTGGCTCCAATCCATCATCATGGTGTTCTAAAAAGTAACATACAATTGCTCAATCATCTACTAAAGCATAATATCGCTCCATTACCTCTATTACTACCGAGATTATTTGGGTCGGTAACCTTTTGAAAAAACTTGAGGTCCTAATTTTGTGAACTTTACATCTTTTATGCAAAAATCTTGGTGTAATTTACTTTTATATAAACCCTTTTTTCCTCACGAGATGAAGCATATCACACTAGACAATCACTTTATATGTAAAAAGGTCACTATTAGTTCTCTTTAAATCTTTCTTGTCTCTACTCGTTAATCAACTCATTAATGCTCTTACCAAGCTTTTGTTGAAATCTCACTTCATTATGCTTCATTTTGAGATCGATGTCATCGATGGCACCATAGTCTTACGGGGGTATATTAGGACGGAATCCTTCGACAGACTCATAATCCTCCACCCTATATGCTCATAATATAATATCTCATAATCCTCCACCATATCCGTTCATTATTCTCTATTAATCATTATCATCAATAACTCATAATTCCCCGATTATAACAATCAATAACATAACTATAATCCTATGAGTTTAGGAGTAATGTATGTAAGTACATAAGTTTGAGAGTAGCATTTGTAATCTTCCTTATTTGTTGATTTACTCTCTGCATTTAAACTCATGTACAACAATATAATTAATATAGTACTTTCCACCATTTTCATGCATTTTTATCTCGTCTTTTAGTCTTAATGTCTTTCTAATAACATTATCCTTACTATGCTTTATGTTTGTTAGACTTTATTTTAATACATAATTTCTATGCTTCTTTCTTTTTTATGTAGCAATCAACCAAACATATTGTAATAACCTAAATTAAAAAAAAAAAAGGGAAATTCGGTCGGTAAAAATAGAGGCGTAATAATCGCCCATATTTCTAGAATTTTCCCTTTTTCTCCTCTCCCTCTCTCACATATTTTCTCTCCCAAAGCCCCTCCCCATTTTCACTTCAATTTCTAAGCTAATTCATTGTTAAATTAGCTTAGGGGAAACATAAATTAGAGAATTCAAGTAGAGTTTAGCTAACTTAGAGCTTAGAGGCTTGAAAAACTAAGAAAAAATTAAGATTTGAGGAGCTTAGTGTAAGTGTAAGATTTTGATCCATTGATCTTTAAATTAGAATACTTATATGTAATTAATGGTGATATTGAGATATAATTGCATTGGATTGAGATTTACTTAAGAAATTGATTAGATTAAGGTTAGGGTTTTGAGACCTATTTAGGAAAAAGTTTGATTAAGTGATCCTAAGTATTTAATTGATGTTTAATTATCTTGGACAAGTGAATTAATGAGTTAATTTGAAGTAAAGCTAAGTTAATTTGAGAAATTAAGAGGTTGAAAAATGATGAATAGTGATAAATTCGAATTTAGGTTTTAATTGGAAACAATTTTGAGAAAAATAAGGAATTAAGTTAGAAAAGTATAATTAAAGATCAATGGAGGGTGAATTAGAATAGAATCGATCATTTAATTGAATTAAAGGTTAATTGATTGTTTAAAAAATGGATTGAAGATTGGTAAAGGAATATGATTAAGAGATTATTTAGAATCAATTAAGGGACATAGGGTTTAGTTTGATTATCGAATCGTGTCTTTCTAATCAATTTTATTTTTGTTCAATAATCTTGTATTTTAATTCTAAAATAATTCATTATTTAGATTATTCCTTGTTATGTGGTATTGATGGATGATCCATCATTTTGTGATACTAGATTCTTCGAAGCTGGCAACTCCATCCCAATCGTCTTGACTTCCTTTTGGTTCACCATTTGTACTCGTGAGTAGATATTATATTATGTATTATGTTTTAAAGTTCTTGATTTATCCGTCATGCATCATTGTTTATGAATGATTTATAAGCATTCTAGTAGAACTTAGATAAGAACAAATATCCTAATTATTTGAAATGTTTTCGTATCAAATGATTTGATAAGAATTTAAAAGAGATTTTAATTTGTTGGATAAATACAAATGATTTGGTATGTTTTTTCAAATTTGAACATATATATGTTATGTTTGTTATTTTGAGTATACGTATATTTTATAAGAATGCATGCATGGTATTTGAAATACCAATTTGAAAATATATAAATATGTTTGGTTTTTGAAAATATTTTTTAAACTCTAGGGAACCTAGCTATTGAGGGGTAGCTTTTGAGCTCAACATACAAGACTCCATCTAGCAAGAGGTGTAGTGCTAGATCGTATGTCGACCAATATGTAAAAACCTAATCATGAGGGTGTGACTTTTGTGTGTTCACACCTAATGATACGTTATTACCCCTCGAGTATATAAAAACCTATATATGTGTTTTTTGTATGACTATGATATTTGTATGGAAAAACACTTTGATGATTTAAAATGAAATAGTTTTGAACTATTTGATTGTGATATATGATACGTTGTGGATTTACACGTGTTTTGAGAAACTAACATAGAATGTTGAGATGAATTTAAAATTTTTAACCTTAGTTCATTTTCCTTCCTTAGTATATTATATAATGTCTACTCACCGAGTTGTTGATTGCTCACTCCTCATTATTTCAATCTTCTAAGTATTGAGGGATCAATCATTGCTTCTTTGAGGTCGCTTGATTTGAAGTCGGCACTTTGGTCATGCGGCTCACTTTAATTATGATTTCGTAGAACCTATGTTTGTTTAAATTTTGTAATCTTAAATGCTCGCGGTTATAATTATGGGTAGTGTATTAAAATTTGATTAAGAATATTGATCTTGGATATTGAAATGAGAATAACATGAAATTTATGAAATGTATTAATGTTGAAGAAATGTTTATTAAGTTAAAATTAATCCAAAATGGAAATGATATTTGATGTTGGTGATGATTTGAGGACTATAGTATAAATCCAATCATGATTTGAGGTTTAACTTAGTTTCTAAGGCTTGCTTGGGTTGAGGTGAGCCTCGCGATTCCCTCGGTCCTAGCATCGATCATGCCCACTTCGGGGTTGTGACTCATTTACACATAAAGAAAGGTGATTTTGGTGTATTAACTTTATCCATAAAGTCAATTAATTTTCTTTTCTTAATATTATTAATAATATTAAAAGCTATCCAAATCATTTCGTATCTTATAAAGAGTTTTTGGATAATACCTTGGAAAGCATTTTGACAACATCAAATCCTTATATTCATAAACAACAACAACAACAACAACAACAACAATAATAATAAAATAAAATTGATAAGTGATTCGTAAAAATACTCAAAGAATAGTAATGCTTTATTTATATTGACTTTTTTATGTTTTGTCTCATGTCAATTATTTCTAGATGTTTGTCTTGAGTGAGTGCTTTGATATTATTAAGAAGGTATTTATGACTTTATAGTCGATTAACTACTTGAATAATGTAACAGAGTTTGTAGGAGTTTGTTAGTTGAGATGTAGAGGATATTAACTAAAAAGTATATAAGTTTTGGCTGTAACAAACCAAGTAAGATGGATAGTCAAAAACTTTTCTAATAAACATCATCTTCTTGATTCTTCTTCTTAAGATGGTA